CGTACTCTCCACAGCAGAACAGTGTGTCCGAGCGTTTGAACCGCACCATTCTTGAACGAGCACGCGCAATGCTTGTTGCATATGACCTCCCGCACTTCCTGTGGCCTGAGGCGGTTATCTATGCGGTGTACATCATCAATCGCTCACCTACGGTCTCACTGAAAGGGAACATCACGCCGTACGAGGCGTTATGGGGAATCAAACCTGATGTATCCAAACTCCAGGAATTTGGAGTTAATTGTTGGGTACTAACACAGGGTCAGAATCCTTCCAAACTGGCAGCCAAGTCAAAGCCCTACCAGTTTGTTGGTCTTTCAGAAGATTCAGGTGCTTGGAAATATCGCGTACCGAAAACTCGCAAAGTTCTGACTTCTCGAAACATTATTTTCGAGAATTCTGGCGAGGAATATGCCCCGGCAATCCCTATCGACCCGATGCGGCTCGAGGGGGAGAGTGAGGATAGCGAGCCAGCATCGGCTCCAACTCCAACAACTCCGCCGGCGCGGCCTACGGTAACTGCACCTGAACCTGAACACATTCCTGATCCTCCGCCATCTCCACTGGCCAACGATCCCCCATCCACGTCGACAGCTCCGAAAGCGCGCAACATTCTGAAAATGCCGCAGCGCGAGCCTCGACCTTCCCGAACAGCAGCACAAGGCACCAAGATCTACAATCCGGATCAATACTTCCGCTCTCTTCGTCACGGGAAAGCTGACGAGCATGACGAGCACAACAACGACGAAATGGCCAATGTTGCCATCTACGATGAACCATCCACGTACCGGCAAGCTACGCAGCACCCGGCTGCCAATGACTGGCAGAGTGCGATGGAATCTGAACTCAAGCAATTGGATGAGCTTGGCACGTTCACTTTGACACAGCTCCCAGCTGGCCGTAAAGCCCTGGGCAGCAAATGGGTTTACAGGAACAAGACAGATGATCTGGGGGAGCTTGCACGCCGCAAGGCTAGGCTCGTCATTTTGGGAAATTCAGCTATTCCCGGAACCGATTATAACCCTGATCAAATTTCGTCGCCGGTTGTACGAGCCGAGACGAACCGTCTTCTTGCTATAGCTGCACGCTACGACTTGGAAATTCGAACCGTTGATGTCAAGGGTGCCTATCTCAATGGCACCTTGAAGGAGGAAATCTACATGAGACAACCTGAAGGTTTCTCTGACGGTACTTCCCGTGTCTGGCGACTGCACAAAACCCTCTACGGTCTTCCACAATCTGGACGAGAGTGGAACGAGACTTTGGATGCCCAATTCAAGACCATTGGCTTCCATAGACTTCTCTCTGATCGTTGTGTCTACATCCGACGCAATGCCGATGGTATCACCATTGTCGCCGTACATGTTGACGACATGTCTATTTACGCTTCCACACCGGAACTCATCACTCGCACCGAGGACCAGCTCGAAACCGCCTTTCAAATCACTCGATTAGGCGACGTCAGACAGCTACTCGGAATGGAGATCCACCGTGATCGTAAAAACGGCACAATCACCATCACGCAGACGAATTACATCAAGAAGCTCCTCGTTCAACACGGCATGGAGAATTGTAATCCTGCAGCAACGCCTATGGACCCCAACGTGAAGCTTCAAAAGCTTGCTAAGGGCGAGTCCCATCCCGAAATCCAGCATGTCTATCAGTCTATGGTTGGAGGAGTAATGTACGCTGCTATCACCACGCGTCCCGACATCGCGTACGCAGTTCAAACACTCTCTCAATTCAACACCAACCCTGGACCTGTCCATCTCACTGCCGTCAAGCGGGTCTATCGCTACCTACGTGGTACACCTGACCTCGGCATTACATATTCCGCAATCGATCTTTCGGATGTTGAGATGCACGCCGATTTTTCACGTCCTCGACTTCATACGGACACTGATTGGGCTAACTCTCTGGACGATCGAAAGTCCATCTCTGGTTACGTTTCCACGTTTGCAGGGGGAGCAACAACTTGGTCTTCCAAGAAACAAGCCACCGTCGCGCTCTCTACGATGGAAGCCGAATACATCGCGCTGTCTCACGCCGCACGCGAAAATTTATGGCTTCGCTCCCTGTTCACGGAACTTGACCTTCCACCCTCTCATCCCTTCCCCATATTCTGCGACAACCGTGGCGCTATCGACTTCACTTTCAATGCCGGCTACCACGCCCGTTCGAAACACATCGACATGCGACACCACTTTATTCGTGACCGCGTAACTTCTAACGAAGTATCAGTTCACCACTGCGCATCTGAGGACAATCTTGCGGATATATTCACGAAGCCGCTTGCACGTACTCAACACGAAGAACAAGTTCGCAAACTCGGAATGACTCGAGTTTGAGGGGGAGTGTTGGGAGAATAATTTGCATCGTGGCAAACCTCGAGTCATACGGCTCCACCGCACAGCATTGTGGCCAGCCTCGAGGCGCGCACTGCATTTTAGTGTACATAGCATTTTAGTGTGCGCAGCACTTTAGTGCGCACAGCCTCGTATATGACTCTACTAACTATGACTCCACCTATGACATCATCGACTCTTTCTCTGTAGTATATAAGGCCCCCGTATTGTACCTGTAAATTTATCGAATCCAATCTACTTTCAACCCACATCCAACCCACCACTGTTGTCCTCACCAACACACACCCACACCAACAGTTCAATAATCCCGGGTTCAATTCCCGGCGTCTGATTACAGTGAGTGTTCCGCCATTTTTTTCTCCTGTAATTGTGCTGACTGCCCTCGATAACTTATCACCTAAACCTCTCGTGCAAATGATTGATTGAAGAAAGTGGCAAAGAAATTGATATCGACATCGCGCAGTGCGGGCAATTTGGAGCATCGCCGCTGCGCTAGAGGAACTCACATCGTTGATAACGCATGGACAAGGGAAGCTAGGAAATCGGACGTGGTGTATGGTACACGGCCTCTGTGATTAATCATTAGGCTCATAACGCTTCAACTTGAACGTTTGAGAGGCAATCCCGGGTTTGATTCCTGGCGTCCGGTTGGGTCTGTTATCGAATCTTTCTTTTGGACTGCTGGGCTATACGTTAATTTTCCTGGCTTGAAACGTCGATGAACTTGGGGCGCTTACGAGCCATGTAAAGGATGCTAAGAAACCGGACGTGGTGTAGGGTTACACAGCCTCCTCAAGTAGCCAGGGCAACACTACGGTCAAGAGGCAGTCCCGGGTTCGATTCCTGGCGTCCGAGTTAGAAGAAAGCGGTGTCCCCTTCTTTTGCTGCATTACTAACCAGCTCATTAATTCTTAGTCTCAGCTTGCCGGGGTCTCATGAGCATTGTCTGGAATCTCAGCCCATCTTCCTTGGTCAATTTTCTTTTGCGTTGAATTCGGTTGAGCGGGTTTACCTGCGAATTGGATCTTTCTTTTGTACCACTGAACTGTCTGCTGTTCTTGGCTTCAAATGCCTAAGAACTTGTGGCCATGCACCCGTTTGTTCTTGTGCTGATTTACGCGGTTTGGCAGGTTGAAAACGATTGGTTGAAGATCGAAGTGGCAGAGGAATTACAGCTCTTTGCGGAACTTAGGGCGCGGGCTGTTTTTATTTTTTTTCTGCGTTTTGGGCAGAACAGCTGCCCTGCGCTCAGTTTCTGTCCAAATTCTTCGGCGTAACGCGCGTTGGAATCGCGCTGCAAATCCGCAGTTGCCCATATCCACGACTTGGTATTTTGATGCCATCATAAAATTTTCACCCAAAAAGTCCCGATCCAACCAGGACAGCTGTAGCACGGTCAAAACTATTCCTATGGACTTAAATTTTTGTGAGTACAGACTTTGGTATGTTCTCTAGTTGATGGGCTCCTACGATGTGTGGTTTCCCCCCTCAATTCAATCCAGTGTGACAGTTGCCGAGTACAACATTTCACCTTTGAATAGATAGCACTGTGAAGAGAAACCTGATCCTTTGTAAGCGTATAAATATGACAGTTGACTTGGTAACATAATGAAGTATGTGGTATAAAAACTTTAGGTCTTTCAGACTCATATTGGCAAGGCTATCAGTGTCCTGCCGGACTACGGTGTTTTTCGGGTCAAATTTCAATGATGGCATCAAAATACCAAGTCATGGATATGAGCAACTGCGGATTCGCAGCGCGATTCCAACGCGCATTACGCCGAAGGAATCGGATCAAAACTGAACCCGGGGCAGCTGTTCTGCCCAAAACAGCAGAAAACAGAAAAAAACAGCCCGCGCCCTAAGTTCCGCAAAGAGCTGTAATATCGAACATCGGAACATCGCCGCCGAGCTGGAAGAGTTCGCAGCCTTAATAACACACAGATCACGGAGGCTAAGAACTTGGAAATAGGACGTGGTGTACGATTACACGGCCTCTCCAAGTGGTCTGGGAATATAGCTATCCGAGAGGCAGTCCCGGGTTCGATTAATTCCTGGCGTCGAAGTTAAGGGTATCCAAGGAGGTTTTTTTTGGGACTGTGTAACTGTTCCTTGTTCTTGGCTATGAGTTTGTGCCCCTTATAGGCCAGGTACTTACGACGGACGTGGTGTATGGTTACACGGCCTCTGCAGTTCCCAAGGATTCTTCCTATAGGAGGCAGTTCCGGGTTCGATTCCTGGCGTCCGAGTAATGAGTGTGGAGCAGGGTTTTTTCTTCCTCGTTGCGCTGCCTGCCCACGATAATCAATTGCCTACCCGTAATGTGTCGTTCTTGGGCTAATTTACGCGGCTTGCCAGGTTGAAAATGATTGGTTGAAGATGGAAGTGGAAAAGGAATCGATATCGACATCCCGCAGTGCGGGGGATTTTAGAGCATCGCCGGGAGGAATTCGCATTGTCGATAACGCATGGACAATGGAGGCTAAGAAATCGGACGTGGTGTAGACGTGGAATCGCTCACTTAGGAAGCAGTCCCAGGTTCCATTCCTGGCGTCCGCGTTGCTGATGATGTATCCTTTTTCTACTTTATTGTGGTTTCGGGAGACAATCGGTGAAAGCTAGGGAATGGACAAAGAATCGGACGTGGTGTAGCGTTACACGGCCTCGTGTGGTGCGAGGATCGCATATCTCAGACAATTGCGAGGCAGTCCCGGGTTCAATTCCCGGCGTCCGAGTGAGTCGATGATGATATTAAACATCCTTTTTGGGGGGGACTTCTGAACCGTTCCTCGACGCTTGGTCTCAGATTGTGCCTCGAATCTTCTCTGGAATGTTAGCCTCTCCATGCCTGACAATCTTTTGTCAATCAACCGCTGCCGCACGTAATTTTACTGAATCCCCTTACGCGCTCGTAATCTCTGTCCATCGGGCTCAACAGTGCTAATGCAACGTTCGACAGAGGAATACGATCTAGTAGCGAAGGGTTTTTGCACCCACACCGCGCAAGAATCCCAATGGAGGCCCAGGGGCTGTGGCGGTCGCTGCGCGGACCTCCCGCGCGGTCGACGTCCGTGTGCCTGACTCAGAGTGACTGTTGCTTTATGGGTTGCGCGACAATTGGGTTGTCCCTGCGTGTGGTGGTGCTATTGCCGAAGGATTGTGGGCCGCCTGGAGTCTCAGGGAATTTTCCGATTTACGTTTTGGAGCAAGTCTGACGTCTCTAGATATCCTGCTAATGACAATTGTGGCAAAAGCTCACCTTAGGAGGTGAAACACCACCCTCATACAGCGGAAGCAGAGTATGACTCTGCGTGACCCCACATGTTGCCGTCTCACACTCTTAAATATGGCGACCCCCGCCCATCGTTGCAACTTACCGTATCCTCGACTTACCCCCCCCGAACATGTCGGAAAATGAAACAAATAACATCGTCGATGAGTCAACGGTGGCCACTACGCGCGCGGGCGAGAACCCCCTCCAGGTTCGTGTTGTGTCACCCCTGGACCCCGGCCACAGTGTGTAAGGATTGATTGCATTCTTGCAGCTTGATACCGAGGACGAGGAGGTGGATGTTGTCGTCGCCGACATACCCAGACCTAACCTGGGCGAGACCGCCACGGACTTCCGGCGCGAGGCGCTCGCCGAGCTCGATGCCATCCACGTCGAGATCGAGCCTGTCACGCACAAACACCTCCTGAGACCCATCCCGTCCCGCGCGGATCGCGAGGCGGAGGAAGCGGCGACGACTCGCAGGAATTACGAGAATGACTTGGAGGGAGGACGAAACATCATGGGAGATGAGCGGTCGGAAGGGACACCTGCGCAAGCCCCGCCAGAAATACGATCCGGATGGATTCTAGAATAGTGGAAATTGCGGTCTGGGAAATGAATGAATGAAAACCACCGTTGTTTCTGCCGCGATGTGGGCTCCAAGACGAAATCGACAGGAGTGCCGCGTAGGGCTGTTCGCGCATCGCGGCTTGCCCCGACGGGCGAATCCATGCACCTAGCCTCACCTAGCCCAGCGCACACGACGAGCAGTGCCGACGAGGAGATGAGCGAGTGTGAGGGCCGCGTACTAGACGACTATACCAAAAGGGAGATAATTGATGAGATAGTACTTATCAATTCCGCGGCTGTATAAAGTTATTGGCGTGTTGTAATCGGACATGATTTTACAAGTACTTGTTCCCTTGCACTCGATTCGTCTGGGTCTGCGTGCCCGCAAGTTCCATCCATTCAGAATCAGATACGAAAGTGTTTGCTTATGAAGGCTCGACAGTGGACAGAGAAGTCCCGGTGGCAAGCGGTCTCGCAGCTACACCGCGTGGAGCTGTTACTACACCCCCTTTCGTGAGAAATGTTTATAAGAGGTTTGAGCGGAAACATTTGTAAATAATCGTCACAACATTGGCCAAATGTTGGCGAAACATCGCTCAAATAGGAATCGTCTAATCCCTCAAGGCTTTTGCAATTCGATGTTTTCACAATGTTCTGGCCGACATCTTTACAAGGTTCCCGCAATATTGAAAGCAGCTGTTCATTTTTTTTTTAAATCATTGAAATTCATGCTACCGAAACAATGCATTTGGCAACTGCTACACAATACAAATGGCCGCGAAGGACTGCCGAACAGCATGCAAAACGGGGGGGAAGAAAACGGATCACAGGCACTGTCTTGCAAATTGCGGCTGCGGAAAACTTGGAAACATGACCGTCGGATTCCTCTCAAGCATCCGGATCCAATGTGATCTTCAATGAACGTGTTGCAGATTTGGTGTATTTGGGTGGAATTGAGTGGGCGGGGCTCTAATTGAGGTCCTCAATTTTGACGGAGATGGGGTGGCTTGGATTTCGAGTCGTTGAGGTACTTGAGCGGAAGGGCTTGGATCTTGGCAGGACATCGCCAGAAGACTTGTGATGAGCTGAACGAGTCTTGATGATACCGTGGGGGATTTGACTCCTGTGGGCCAGACTGCAAGCAGGGAGCAAGCAACCGACCGCTGGTCCTGGGCTACGGCAGCACAGTTGGCGTCGACATCATCGACAGCCGTCTTGAGCATCCGGCTTGAACTGGCCGCAGAGGGCACGGGGCAGCGGGAAGAACATGGCTCAGAGATCTCCCATCCGTAGCCGCGTTCGAGGAGCTTCGAAAGCACGTCTGTGAACGTGGAGCGTCTTGCAACTTGCTGGTCGTGCATGCGCAGATATTCCCGAATCGCAGCTTGGACGTGCGAGCTGGCATCGAAGCATCGCTCGAGCCTGATACTTAGTCGACATATGCGGCGGAGGACAGGGAGGTCCGGAGTTCTCTGCTGGCTAAGTGCTGGCTGCAGTGGACGTGGGTGGCAGTGGGAGGGAAAGATGATGATTGTGGGCGACCAACATTGGTCTTGTTTGTTCTGATGCGCACGGACCAGACGCGGCTTGCTTCGCTCGAAATGCTTCATCTGTACTTGCTGCTCCTAGCACCATTATCTTAGGGCATCTTTGGAGATGTCCTTTATAACTGCTAACCCGTGCCATTTTCATGCACGCGACGCATTGCTGGCGGTCGCACAGCTGCACGACTGCCCGCTCCGAGTCGAATGCGCAACATGCCATTCTATATTCTACTTAGTACTAACTGCACTGCAACTCGGTGCTATCGCGAGTCAGGATATGGATCAGAGCCGCCTGACATCTATGGAAACATGACTGGGTGGTCAATATGGTTGGATGAACGACTCCTATTGTTCAAACATCTACGAGCATATGCGCGAGACCTTTTCTCGATGTTTTTGCAATGGTCTGTGGGCATCGGGTACATATTGTCGGCGCACATTGTTGAAACATTGGATCAACATCTTTCTGATGTTCTGAACCACATTTCAGACATATTGAGACTCAACATGTGTGAAATGAAATGTTCGAATGGCGGTGTATTCTGCGTGTCTGTGCGAGTAGAAGATCCTGGTTCGACTCCAGGTCGGGTCGTGGTTCGCATAGCCAGGTCATTCTTTTTTATCTCTTACTCCCTATAGATCTTGTTTTCAGCCGACCCCGCAAGCCGGATTCGCTGGCTCCCAACGCCAGGCGGTTGCCTTGCTATTCCGTCATCGCTGATTTCAACCGTGGGAGAAAATTCTAAACGATGGTTGAATTCCTGCTGCGCCTTGTTGGGATGATGGATCCAGCGGTAATATTGATGAAGCTACGAATGGTAACTACAAGCAGCGTCCATTCGAGAGTAAGAGATCAACCCTTGAGTTAACAAAAGTACTTGAAGCGAAGTCGTTCACCCAACAATTCAAATTTCAGTATCGACAGCGGGAGTCTCAGCCGCAGGCTATTTCTTCGCCTTCCCCCTGGCTTGGGATTACCGTCTTCGTCGTGACCTATGGAGAAAATCATTTCATCGGCACACACACGCACAACGGATGCAGCCGTCGCCAAGAAAGCCTTTTTTTCCCAATCGCTCAACGACTGTCCCCTTCCGCCGGACCATCCCGCTTTCTAGACCTATATTCGCACTGCTGCACGCAATTTTGCTGAGGCTGTGCGTGCGTGATCTTCCCTCCATCCAGATCGGACTCGAAAGTGCTTGCCAAGCCAAGGTTCGACAGAGCCGAAATAAGACCCGGTAGCGAGCGGACTCGCACCCACACCGCGTCATTCTGGAATTCTGCATGTCTGGGCGCATGGTAAGTAGATCCTGGTTCGACTCCAGGCCGAATCATGGGCGGAACGGTATCTCCTTTTGCCAACCACTCAAGTTCTCCCCCGGGCCCGGACCAATGCCGATCGAAATGGCTTCCAGCAATCTCTCTTTCCCTGCTGCAAGTTCTGCCTCGTCGGTAAGTTCCGGTCATTCAGAAATTCAAATCAAATTCGAAGGTGCTTGCTAACTCGAGGATCGACAGGGAATAGTCAAGGCCCCGTAGCGAGCAGTCTCGCGCCATAACTACGTCACTTTAGTTTCGTCAGCTGCACGCGGGAAATGCTGGTTCGACTCCACGCCGCGTTGTGTTTAGTGGCGAGGAATGTTTTTGTTTAACCGTTGATCAAGCACGGTAACCCTGCGCCGTTCTTCCTCAGCGTCGCTTCGGATGCGGCCGCCAGCTAGAACGCGGAAGACGGTGAGCGCGATTCCTTTTATCAAAATCAGTACTCAGGATTTTAGCGGAACACCCGCACTCACCTTCATGTCTGCACATACATAGGTAGAATTTCGCACTCGATGTCGCGCTGGAGCACCGAGTATGCGACTTGGAAGACAACGAATCTGGGGAGCAATGTAATTTAGACACGTTACATATACCGCGGATGGTATTTGACTCACGGTGTCTTTCCATTTGCCTTGGCGTAGTCGTTCGCCTTGACCATGAACCACGCAGGGCTTCCTGAGATTCCCTGGCATGCAGATGCGGTGAGCTCCTTGATCAATTACGCCTGTACGCGACTCACCAGGTAAAGCACCTTCCCAGTGGTAACAAGGATGTGCAAACTGTCCATGATCTCCTCCACGGATGCATGCAGGTCCCAGTGGTGAACGTAAAATATATCGATGTAGGTCGCCCTCAGTTTCTTGAGGCTTGCTTCGACGCTTAGTCTCATTGATTTGGTATTATTCCCAAGATAGAGCTCGTGTCGATTGAAGGACTGGTCTCCCGCGGTGTATGGGAAGGTATACTGCGCTATTCGTCAGGTACGGGATCATAAATCAAGAAATGTTAATACCTTGGTAGTGATTAC